TTATTTATTATTATTATTTATTTATTATTATTATTATTTACTATTATTGTTATTTAATATTATTATTTATTAATTATTTATTATTATCATTATTATTTATTAATTATTTATTATTATTATTTTTATTAATTATTATTTTATTATTATTATTATTATTTGTTGTTATTGTTATTTTTATTTTATTTATTTTTTTATTTTTGTTATTTATAATTTGTTGTTATTAATTATAATTTGTTATTGTTGTCGTTTTTTATTAATTATAATTTGTTGTTGTTATTAATTATAATTTGTTGTTGTTAATTATAATTTGTTGTTTTTGTTATTAATTATAATTTGTTGTTGTTATTAATTATAATTTGTTGTTGTTAATTATAATTTGTTGTTTTTGTTGTTATTAATTATAATTTGTTGTTGTTGTTGTTATTATTAATAATAATTTGTTGTTGTTATTGTTGTTAATTATAATTTGTTGTTTTTGTTTTTATTAATTATAATTTGTTGTTGTTGTTATTAATAATAATTTGTTGTTGTTATTATTAATAATTTGTTGTTGTTGTTATTAATTATAATTTGTTGTTGTTGTTGTTATGCGATTACCTCCAGTTCATGATATTCTCCTGGGTCTTTTGAGCTATGTCTAGGCTAATTCCCGAAGCTTAGAAACACAGCACTTTTTTCAATATGTGAGCTGTTCACTTCCAATGATGTTAGGTAAATCTAACTTCTCATGCCAGATCTTTGCTTTCTTCGATATGCTTCCAAGTGCACCAATTACGATAGGTATTACTGTCACTTTCGAGGCTCTGTGGATTCTGTTTATTTCAAATGCTAGGTCTTGATATTCATCCATCTTCTTCGTTCTTGAAATATTATTATAATATAATAATATAATATAATGTGTCTTCTTTTTATTATTATTATTATTATTATTATTATTATTATTATCATTATCATTATCATCATCATTATCATTATCATTATCATTATTATCATTATCATTATTATTATTATTATTATCATCATCATCATTAAACGAAGGCTAGCTTAACTTTGATATTCCAATTTTTTTCGCAATGTCGTTCAGTTACTAAACGACATATGTTTTTTATTTTTTCTATTTATTTATTTATTTTTTTTTTGGAGAGGGGTCAGGTCCCACACCACCACCCCCCTCTTTCCCCTCCCCCCGGCTGCGCCCATGGAATTATTGTTAAGATTTTTAAGGTATGAGAATGCAATTTCCGGACACCCAGAGGTCAATATTATTCTGAAAATGTTCGCATCTCAGCCCCAACCATGCTGAGGTGGTGTGGACTCTCATGCACCATGGGCGCAGGTCAGGGGGTAAGGGACACATTAATTTTTAAGTTGGGGGTTGGTCCCCCTCTCTTTTCGCAATGCAATTTCATGAGTCAAGAAGATGCCTGAAAATTGTTGAAATAAACTGCATAAATGATCCAGGTTGTAACGAAAGAGCGCTGTACAGCCAGAGTACATCTTTTAAATAAACATAGTACAGGTATCTCTGCCCACAAACATCTGAATTAGACCTACCTACTCGAGTGTTCGTGCCTTTTATTATAAATTAAGAAGTATCAGAAAAGCTTGCAAAGATAGGCCTAAGATTTGTTTTTGGCACATGAAGTAGGTAAAGTTAAATACATCAAAGACAATCAGTTTTTATTTTCTATGGTATACCATAGCGATTAATTAGATCGATGATGAATTTACTATATTATGGCATATCCGGCAATCTAGAGGTACTATATTTCCCCACCTTTTACCACCTCAGCCTAAACTATGGTGGGGCTGAGATGAGTGTGGACTCACGGTTTTGTAGTAGGTAAAGTAAATACATCAAAGACAATGTTTTTAAGTTTTATTTTCTATAGTACCGTACACTAAACATATTAATTGATCTCTATAGTTGCCGAAAATCGCTGATAAAAGATCATGAGAATTTGTTGGCGCTTCATTTTGACTATTGGTGAATGTGATATGATGATTTTTACTATATAAAAGTGTCATTTCCGGCCATCAGGTACTATTACCACGAAATATCGCACACCCCCACCCCCCCCCCCCCTCCTCTCTAACCCCCCCCACCACCTCTCTAACCTTTCAAAACAGATCTGCGCCTTACACGCACCCCCTACCGCTAAATCCTGCATCCGCACCCGCCTGTTCCTATATTCGTTTGCATAAACCCTTTACTTGGCTGAAAATCAAATTTTGAGATTTATATAGTAAAATGTTTGTAAATCTCAATGAACTAAAAATTACTTGGTATAAACATATTTTCAACTAAATCTTGGTCCAGTGTTATCCACCGTATGCACTCTTTGAAACGACCACTGGATTTACAATTTCGTTGTTTTTAATTGTTCTTCAATTTTTTTTCTACAATTTAATAATATTCATAATAAAATTTAAGCAGCCGCCAAAAGCATTTGCTTTTATTTTATCTCACCTCTAATAACTATGATAGTAAAAGAAAAAAAAAATGTTACATTGATTGATGGATGGATTGGCTTTCCTTCAAATAACACGATGCAAGATTCAAGATTCATTTATTATCGTCATACATAATACATACGACATTTCCTTGTAGATTGAACTCAGTGTCTCTATATAAACAGGCTTGCCTAAGTATAAAATGACTACAGGTGGGATCTTACACGGTAAGATCTTAGACGTACGACATCACAAGTCTTAAATATATGGGGTGACGTTGATTTCAGGGCTTATTTAATTTTACATGTAAAAAATGCATACAATTTCTTTTTCTCTCCGACGAATTTGTTCCTCCCTCACCACCCCCACCCCTCTCCACACACACACACACCACTGGCGCCACTCTTGTATGATTTTATCAAGATCTAGGCTATGTTGTGGGCTACATAGAATGAGGCGACAACACTACAACAGTCAGGATTCAGTGAATACTTGGGGACTAGGGTCAGAACCTCCATATATTAGCTTAAATGTATGTGTATGTACGTTGCTACATCTTAAAATATAATCCCAACATCACAGCAACAAACAGCACACCGAATACTAGGCCTACTTGAGCCAAAGTGTGAAGAAAGTTTCTATAGGGCACTTTAGAAGCACGCGTTTTTGTTGCCATCACTGTTTTTCGCGGACCAGCTAGCAGTGCATCCATCGCGCCGTTCCATGAGTGCGGTCCTTGAATACGGAACATGTACGGATACATCGTGCCAAAAGCAAGCTTCATCGCAATTCTAGGGCTCGTGAATATGTAACTCCAGAAACTTGGTAGAACGCCAATTCTCCGTGCGAGGTCGAGTATGTACGGCATCCAAAGCACCTGAAAATAAAGTAATCAACTTCATATTGAAAAAGTTATCAACAGTATAAATGATGTCTCATTTTACTAATGCTGACGAGAACCAATAATTTTTAACTGAATAGCAACTCACATATGCATGAACGTGGCCATGATCTTTTATGTTAATTTCTGATACTTCTTTGATGTCTTTTCTCATCGCATCTTTTGATGGTAATTTCAATTTCCCAGTTAAAATGCGTACAACGTAACGAGACTGCATCTCATATGCATATGCTTGAGGCCCAAGACCTTTGAAGAGACCGATAGCAGCGAGAGTAGGTACATCTGGGTTGAAAATGAACTTGTACAATTGAAGTTCCTCCATAGAATCTGAGGGAGTAATAAATCAAATGATGAAAGTGTCGAATATTAAAAATTTATATACCATGTAGTCTATTGCTTAGTATAGAGATTATAGAGGACATAATATTTATACATTTTATAGTTATAAACTTGCCTCTGATTTCTTTACTTTCTATGAACGGAAACCTCTTGTTATATCCGGTCGCTATAATCAGCGCATCAACGTTGTCCACGCGGGAACCATCCGTGAACACAACACCTGTTTTTGTCAGCCTTTCTATTCCAGGTTTAACCTTAATGATAACAATATTGTAAATAATGATGATAATGATAGTAACAATGATGAAACGATGACTTGGCGGCGGTGACAATAATGATGCTTATTGTAGTAATGATTTTAATGTAAGATACGATTACAATAGGTTGTAAATCATTAATATCCAGTTGAAATTATGTGAAGATACTAACAACTCGTCTTCCAAGTTGAGACCACCTTTGGGACCTGAAATTTAGGGTGGTCTCGGGCTTCAGTCTCCAATTGGAGGGTTAGCGTTGTGTTTAAAGATTGTTATCTGGTTCTTTGAAAAAGTGGTCTCTAATCAGAGGGGGTTGGGAAGGGGATATCGAATTGGAGGGTGCGCTGTAATTATATATGCTGCTGCCGCATGACCCCACTCAATGGATTGTTTTCATGTAAGAATGAGTTTTATTTGTGGTTGACTAATAAAAAAACAAAAACATACCTTTAATTTGCCACAGTATATTTGATTATCTATAGAATCATTTATCATAATAGTCGCTCCTGCGTAGAGGCGGATGTCACTCTCCAAACCAAGAGCCTCGTGGTTCACAGCACGCCTTATGACCCTCTCCATATACAGTTCTTGAAAGCACTCTGGCATGTAGTTGAACCATTGGCTAAGAATGTGTGTATCCCAGGGTCCTTTGCCTGCGAATGTTCTTCGTAACACCCAACATCCTCTGCGAGTACTTATATATGTCTGAAATAATATCACTTAAAGCTTCAATTTAAAACATGAGGGAATAAGTTTAAAGTAATTTTTCAGTTCTACGTCTATACATTTAAATATATTTGACACAATAATGTACTGAAGAACGATTAAACAAAAATAAATGATTACAAACGAATGAAGAAATAGAAAAACATATAT